TAGGTAACAGGGGAGCATAGGGTGTAAGAAACTCGGCCCATTGTTTCTCACCGGTGCCTGGGATCGAACCCAGGACCACAGGATCACAAGTCCAGCGTGCTGTCCGCTCGGCCGACCGGCTCCCTATCTTCTTGAGGTTATCTTGAGATGATTTCGGGGCTTTAGTGTCCCCACGGCCCGGTCCTCGACCAGGCCTCCACCCCCAGGAAGCAGCCCGTGACAGCTGACTAACACCCAGGTACCTATTTTACTGCTAGGTAACAGGGGAGCATAGGGTGTAAGAAACTCTGCCCATTGTTTCTCACCGGCGCCTGGGATCGAACCCATGACCACAGGATCACAAGTCCAGTGTGCTGTCCGCTCGGCCGACCGGCTCCCTTGAGCCGGTCGGCCGAGTGAAGGGTGGTGCACCCTTCACTATGGTGAAGATCGTGCACAGTTTAGGGATCTGCCCTTACTGTGCACAGACTTTCTGTGACTGGAGGCAGTAGTGTGTAGTGTAGGTTCTTACAGTGATGGCTGTGTAGTGTAGGTTCTTACAGTGATGGCTGTGTAGTGTAGGTTCTTACAGTGATGGCTGTGTAGTGTAGGTTCTTACAGTGATGGCTGTGTAGTGTAGGTTCTTACAGTGATGGCTGTGTAGTGTAGGTTCTTACAGTGATGGCTGTGTAGTGTAGGTTCTTACAGTGATGGCTGTGTAGTGTAGGTTCTTACAGTAATGACAGACTGGATCTCTCCCTGGCTGAGGTATAGAGTTGTTTCCAAGATGGAGCGAGAACTAATTTGCATCTTCAATACGGTCTAAATTCTCAGGGAGATATTTAATCTCCCGCTAGCACCTGGGAGCAGTGAAATACAAGAGTACTTCCTGTATTTAATGACACGTGTTCTAAGGTTGAAACAAGAGACTAGGGTAACACCTGTACTCAACGAAACATGTGTTATATTCTGTTTATAAATTACAAACTCCAAATACCGTTTTTGGCCGAAAAGAGGCACCAAATTAACAAAAATAATTTGTTATTTAGCTTTGAAATATATATTTCATCATTTATTGAGAGTATTGTTAAAGAGACTATGTAGGTAAAATACATGTGATTTGGGGCACATATTCACGACTCATGTATACACGACACACGGTTAGTGGTGGAAGAGAAACATGTGTCCTCTCCCCCTCCCCTCCTCTCCCCTCCTCCTCCTTTCGCGTATGATGTGTTGTCACTAGAGAAAATCGTCATTATAGAAAAGTTGGCAATAATGAGTGCGGTCAACAGAAAATATTGCCAATAAAAGTCTTTGAATCCCATCGTGATCAAAATTAAATGTTATCTATATATTATCTTCATTATTGACATTGTGGTGCGAGATGCTAATAAAGTATTTTTGTCAATAGTCATCAAGAAATATACACAGGCGATGAGTCACAATAACGTGGTTAAAGTATGTTGACCAGACCACACACACTAGAAGGTGAAGGGACGACGACGTTTCGGTCCGTCCTGGACCATTCTCAAGTCGATTTTCTTCAATCGACTTGAGAATGGTCCAGGACGGACCGAAACATCGTCGTCCCTTCACCTTCTAGTGTGTGGTCTGGTCAACATATTTGGAGTGAAGGGTCGAGTGAATGTGAGAATGGTATCTACACTGGAGTATGTGCAGTGAAGACATTCATCCGTGCATGTATTAGTGAAAATTATGTATTGAGGAAACTCAAGCCTTCTTGTGGCAAGAAGGGGAAGGCTTCTTGCAAGGGTTGAGGCCTTGAGACAAGCCGGCGGCTTTCTGTCCTCGTCGAGGCCGCTAAAGTGTTAGTGCCCCTCAGGTAAATTCAGGTAAATATTAGGGGGGAATTGAACTTATTTCTCTTTGTCGAGCATAGGAAGCTTATCGAGGCCAAACTCCTTATTTTACTGCTAGGTGAACAGTGGCATCAGGTGTAAGATCTCCCTTCCTACCTTCCCCAGCCTGCAACCCTCACAACAATTGCCTAGCTCCTAGGCACTTATTTCACGGTTAGGTGAACAGAAGCATTAGGGTGAAAGACAACATGGCCATCTATTTCTGTCCTGCACGGGAAATAAACCCGGGGATCCCCTCTGTTATGAGGCGAGGACGCAGAACTACACTACAACACGTTAGACTCTTTTCTCGCTTCATGCAGATCGGCGCTCAATCCCCGAGCGTCCAAATGGCTAGGCAGCATTAGTTATCCGGTCGGCCGAGCGGACAGCACGCGGGACTTGTGATCCTGTGGTCCTGGGTTCGATCCCAGGCGCCGGCGAGAAACAATGGGCAGAGTTTCTTTCACCCTATGCCCCTGTTACCTAGCAGTAAAATAGGTACCTGGGTGTTAGTCAGCTGTCACGGGCTGCTTCCTGGGGGTGGAGGCCTGGTCGAGGACCGGGCCGCGGGGACACTAAAGCCCCGAAATCATCTCAAGATCATCTCAAGATAGATCCTGACCCCCTTTGAGAATTACCTCTGCCTCCCACTGCTCTGTTCTTAGCGTATAGCTAAGAAGGAAGGAAGGAAACTATCAGGAGGAAAGCGCCAAGCCATTACGACTATATTGCACTGGGAAGGGATCAGGATAAGTATTTGGGATGGGACGGGGGGAAAGGAATGGTGCCCCAAACCACATGTGGACGGTCGGGGATTGAACGCCGACCTGCATGAAGCGTGACCGTCGCTCTACCGTCCAGTCCAAGTGGTTGGACGAGAGAAACATGCAGGGAACCTTGTCCACTCAAGGCTAAGTGATCAACCCCTTGAGATGGAAGAGTGTGACTGTTTAAGAATTCCAGTAAGACTCAGGCTGGCGGTAAACCCTTGGAGAAGGTGATACAGTGTGCCTCGCCTGACCAAAACAGTCAGCCGTGGCGGTACAGGAATTCACTGGAATGCTTGTGAGGAAGAGAGTGGCGGCCATGTCATTTGACTGGCATGACAGTCATGGCTTGCCTGGCGTATATGTAGCAAAGTGGAGTGATCAGTCTGTCGTGGAGTATATGTAGCAATACTCTCTCTCTGTCTCTCTCTCTCTCTCTCTCTCTCTCTCTCTCTCTCTCTCTCTCTCTCTCTCTCTCTCTCTCTCTCTCTCTCCCGGCGCCATCTTGACGTGTAGTTAATAACGCTCCAGATGTAAACAGATCAATGATTACTAACCCTGACCATTAACACAAGGTGGGGGGGGGGTGTTCTGAACCACCTCGTTCGGACACTAATCACCCATTCAACTCTATTCCTTCGTGAACTACGTCACTAGACTCCACGAACAACTAGGCCTTATAGTTCCCAGCGTAACTGGAGGCTGGGTCATCCCACGAATGTAGATCAGGCATAGGGGGCCTGATGGCTGAGTGGACAGCGTTCGGGTTTCGAAGTCCTAAGGTTCCGGGTTCGATTCCCGGCGGAGGCGGAAACAAATGGGCAGAGTTTCTGTCATCCTGATGCGTCTGTTCATCTAGCAGTGAATAGGTACCTGGGAGTTAGACAGCTGCTACGGGCTGCTTCCTGGGGGTTGTGTAACAAAAAGGAGGCCTGGTCGAGGACCAGGCCGCGGGGACGCTAAGCCCCGAAATCGAAATCGAGATCGAAACTCAAGATGTTGTGTTTGCGGGATCGAGCTATTAGCTCTTGGGCTCCGCCTTTCTAACCGTCGGTTGTCTAATGCACTGATTCCTAACATGCTTTCCTTTATCATATCTACTACATATATATGTCTCTAATGCACATAATCGCACACATATCCCCAAGCTGCAGTCTGTAGCAACTTTTTAACTTCCAGGTATATGTAGTTACTGCTTAGTGAACAGGTGCATCAGGTGAAATAAACTGTTCATTTGTTTCTGCTTCGGCCGGGAATCAAACCCGGGCCCTTTGGAGCACAACTCCCGAGTGTTGTTCGCTCGGCCGTGTGTGTGTGTGTGTGTGTGTGTGTGTGTGTGTGTGTGTGTGTGTGTGTGTGTGTGTGTGTGTGTGTGTGTGTGTGTGTACTCACCTGGTTGTGCTTGCGGGGGTTGAGCTCTGGCTCTTTGGTCCCGCCTCTCAACCGTCAATCAACAGGTGTACAGGTTCTTGAGCCTATTGGGCTCTATCATATGTGTGTGTGTGTGTGTGTGTGTGTGTGTGTGTGTGTGTGTGTGTGTGTGTGTGTGTGTGTGTGTGTGTGTGTGTGTGTGTGTGGTGTGTGTGT